AAAAAATTTAGTTAAAAATTTAATTATTGAAAATGACTCATTCTAACTGTTCATTTGATCATATAATTCAAATATTTTTGATCCGAAGGGTTTGAAAACGTAAGAATACATCGAACCCTTGAAAAAGTCCGAAGTTTGCAATAAGGGTAATAAAAAAATCAAAATCCAATTAAAAGAACGGATGGGATATTAGCATTTCAAAAAATTCCAACAAAGAGTGTGTACTTCTTTCAATCATTGTCGAGCAACTTTAGGAACTTTAAGACCTCTCCGAAACAATAATGATATCAAATGGAAGGGGTAATAGGCAATTTTCTCGGAATTGCCCTCGTATTTGAGTGTATTGATTGGAAAGAATCACGCAATATTTTGCCAGGCATAGCAAAAAAAGGCATATCTCTATTAGACACCCTATGTACACGTGTTCTTTTTGCTAAGCAAGGTATATTGTTGCTCTACCTTCTTCTCCACTTAAACTGCATTTGTACTAGACGGTTTCATGGAAAATCCCGGGGAAAAACTGTTACAGATCCCTAGTCGTAATTTTATCGGACTCATCATCACCAAATGACACCAATTAGATTAGCTTAAATGCACGGATACGTCATGACTAGTTCAAATGCAACGTTCACTGTTCAGTTTTAATTTTTATCCTTCCAGTTGATTTTTCAACTTGACAAATATAAATTTCAAATGGACTTTTCTCAAAATTGCGTTTTTGAACTAAGTATTTTTAGACATTTTAAATATTCTTTGCGTTGACATTTTTTTGTGCCAAAAGAACGATGGAATACTTTTCATGTCAAAGTGTCTGTGGATATTTGCATTTCAGGCTCTAGATTTGTGGTTAGGTCTATTTTCCTATTAGTGGTCACGAAAAAATATTTTCTTTTAGAGGGAAGGTCTTGTCTTCGAAGAGTATTACAGTCACCAAACTTTGAAGAGAAAGAAGTAAATAACCTAGAAAATAGACTTTTGCAGAGCAAAAAATTAACTTTTTTTGGAGTAAAGTTATTGAAGACCAGTAACTAATTAAGAATTGTTTTGCTAAAATATTTTTCTCTTGTCAGAGGTCTATTATTCAAATTTCTGTTCCCCAATTCCAAAGTTGATTTGTTGAATTTCACTCAAAAGTCGCAAAAATGTGTCCGTTTTCTGTTGAGCTGTAGTGAGATCCCTGTCCGCGCATTAAATCCTGAGTATTTTTGAGTAAGGAAGGTTTCGAAAGAATAGCTCGAAATACAACGCCTTAGCTAATTGCAAGTAAAGTAAGGGTCGATGCGAGCTCTTCGAATGGGAGGGGTAATTTCTAATGCTATATTTTTTTAGTCAATGCTTGCAATCAGTTAGTTTTCTACGCCAACATTTTAAAAGTATGCAGATGTAAAAAATGACGCGAGAAGTTTGGTGCGCATTGTTATCAAATTGTGGCATAAATAACCGCATATTCAATTTTAAGACAATGTGGTGTAAAAGACTTACAATGGACGATCTGGCGACATTGTGCCGAAGCACGACGAAACCGTTGGAACGGTCAGGTGTAGGGATCATAATTCGATACGAAAACAAACGGCATCTTCTCTCACCTATCCTCCTGTCTGTCGTAATGTGGTCGCTCAGCGGACCGCTATCGGAGTTGGCAAACCGCAGACTAAACCCTCATTTTCCCTCCACGAACTTTCAAGGAGTCGGAACTTTCGAGGAATCCGGCAATCATACTGTTTTACATGTTGCCGAGTGGCGTGGAAGTAATTTGAAAGTTTCGCTAAGTCAAATCTCTCGTCATTTTTTTTTTCATGTTCGTGATAATTCGGCTGATGATTTGACTCGAAAAAAGGTTTAGATATCACTCGAGTAGGCCACTTGTCGTGACATTGTCACTGTCTATAACTATCACACTGGAAAAAAGTTCCAACTTATGATCGGAAGGTTGGTGTTACGAATCGATCGAACGACCGCTTTGTCAAACCGCACGTTTGGTCCGGTTGTTTGAACTTCTGGGCTTCAGTGAGTGGGAGACTTAAACGCGCTGGTAGGAAAAATAGAGAGATAGTCAACAGCCAACAAAGAGGTAGGTGACTGTTGCTGCCTCATAATTGGACAACATTTTGCAATGAGTACCATCAGTTTCTGACTCATTTTACAAACAACACATACTATTATAGTTCCCTTGAGCAGATAGGTGTTTTTTTCAGTGAGTCAGTAATAGTAGTGCCTGATTGTAAAATTCAAGCAAATTGTCCATAGGAAATGTTGCATCCCTGAAAGTAAAAAATTCCACCTGTTGCCGAGAGGTTGGTCGAGGATTTATATTTTTATTCATTTGAACAGTAGTACCCTAACTGCAAGTGGACGTATTTATGCTAAAAGAAATTCTGTGCTTAGGGTTTTTGTGCAACATAGTTTCTTTTAGCGTAAATACGTCCGATTCATGTTGCCTAATTTCCTCGCTTATTTTAGATTTTTTTTCTACAGAAATCACAATTCCTTGAAACTTTTGTGAATTTTACCTTGAGTATAAAAAATACACTCACAGCATTCCAAAGCAACATTTTGTGCGCGAATGTTTGCTTCTTTTAGTAAATTAAAATATGATAGTAAATCATACAACGTCTGATTTATAGTCAGGTCGATTCTGATTAATGGCGCTCATTTGTCTCTGTTGCAATCAGATAGGTCTGTGTTGTCTGAAAAAGTTTTAAAAAGATTCAATCAATAATCCTATAAATTTATTGGGCTATTGTCAAAAAGAACGTTTGGCATTGCAGGAAATAAGATTCGATGAATGGAATTAAGAAAATCAGTAGCGCGATTTTAAAGAAGCAGCAAGTTGAATGGTTGTCAATAAAGACCCAGGAATGATTGCAGCAATCCGCCGGTGCGTCAGTAAATTACAAGAGCTAACAAGGGGAAAATTTATGTGTTACACAGAAAGACGAGGAAAAGGAAAACCTCAATTTCCTCCGGATAAACACATGCTTTGAGTGCCTCATTGCTCTGCAAGAGATGTTTCCTTCATTTGCGTTGAAGCGGTTTTCAAGTATTCACCTCCGTATGCATTAGTGTCAAAATTCACAAACTAAAAAATAGAAATACCTACATTTTTTTACCTGGTTTAAGACATATGAAGATAACTTTTTTGACGTTCATACCTTGTTAACAGAAAAAACAAACCGGCATTCCAGGTATGAATCAAAGCATTGTCATTGATCTTATGTGTGTCTTTTTAACATGTTTTGTGCAAGAGAAATCCGGAAAGTTAATGAAACAGTTTTTAAGCGAAATATAACCTTACACTAAAATCAATTACAAATTGGCGAATTACCTCATCCGTCGCCAATCAATACTTGTAAAAAGCGCGAATTTATTACGCAATGTGTATTGGTTTTTGTGTTTGAGTGTAAGTACCGTAGTGGCCCTGAGGCTTTTCGTTGGTCCATTGTTTACGATGTGAAATTTTGGTTGAAACATTCGAAATTCATCACATGGGGGAACGATTCCCTTAATCATTATCCGCAGTTTGTGTTGCTTTCACAAATTCATTTGATCAACTCGTCCTACTTCCTACTCTTCATTCGCGATTCAAAGGATAACAACAGGAATTTATGATGCGAAAATTTTTTCCCACATTCTACTATTGGCAAAGTTCGATTATTTTGCACTACTGCATGGCAATGGAAGCGTTCGACTTACCATACATATTTTCCAAGAGAATTTTGAGGACTGAAAAAGTGCTATTAATACTAGTACCACTTTTATTCACTCATTCGATTGATAATTATGTTTCGAATCACATACAGGCGGTGTTTTAATACGTATTTTTTGGGCGGTTTTGTGGTTGAATGAGAGCAAGAGGTGGGAGACGTATGAGGAGAGGGAAAGGTACACAATACAAAAGTTGCTCATAGTTCTTTTTCCATGCATGCATATGGTGTTATGGCAAGAAAAAGCTGCTTCTGGTATAAATTTCTTGACACGGGGAAACGGAAAAGAGTAGAATGTTGCTTGAAATTTGGCAAAAGCGCGCGAAAATACACGGATATAGCCGGCAGATGCAAGAGTGATATCGCCATTTCGTTACGGTGGAAAGAGGATTGTAAATTTTTGCTCGCTGTCATTACTCCACGAAATGCATGATCTCATCGTTGCCTGCTTTGCTTCCCAGCTCTCCTCCTTATATCGCGGATTCTAAAGAAATATTCACTGTAGTAGTTTAGTGTGTCCGGAAGAGGTGTTAGGCTGGGAGGTGTAGACACGCGCACACTATGACAACTGCGGGAATTGTGGAATAGGTTTTTCTGAGAAAACTAGATTCTAATCAGTTTCATGAAATTTCATGGAAGCTCTCCGATTCTTCTTTTATATAAATCATAGCTCGCTCTAAAGATCCATCGCGCCGATTTCTATGATTTTTGCAGCTACCGACAGGTGATAATCTTTAGATGAGCCTGTGTTCTGTCAATTTTTGAAATATAACCTAGGAAGTTCGAATCCAGAAACCGAGATTTGAAAAATACAAATCATGAAAAAACTTATATAGGGTATAGTATGTTTTTGAGTATACCCTTCTCGAGTATTTTTAAATATATTTTTTATTTTTTTTTTTCTTGTTCAATTAATAACGTAACGTTGAATATCAAAATTCCTTTAAAGGTTCCATTAAACATAATTTTCACTTTTTCTTAGAAGTTTTGCAAAGTGACTTTTGAACCTAAAAAGCGTGTGGACTTGACTCGGACCCTGAATTTTGACGTCCAAATTTTGTATAAACAAAGGCCCAAGTCACCCGCGACGGTGCAGGATGGGGCTGAGAAGAGTGGCGAAAGAAAGAGGAGAGATCGAACGTCGCCGATCGTCGCGTCGGCGTCGGAGGCGACGTCGGCGTCGTCAGGGAAAAAAATAAAAACGACGCTACGAGAGAAAGAAGAAAAAAACTTTCTTTCCCGTGCGTCGGACGCTCGGACGATTTCTCGAGCGGCCGCAGTCTTGTCATGGTCCTGACGGAACCGAGTTGGGGTCTCCGGCGCTACCTCTTCTCCGCGATTTTCGGAACCCGCGAAATCCGCGATTTTTCGAGCCCCCCAAACCCGCCCCGAGCCCCGGGGTGCCCCGAAAAGTCCCCCTTTTTGAAGTGAAAGTGAACCGCGACGCTCCCGTGGATGTGCGTCCGTTGTGGATCGTGTAATATGTATGTGTGTGTATGTATAACAATGACGGGTCAAAGGTCGAAAGTGACGGGTTCAGTTTAGGGAGACTTAGGCAGCTACATATCTAAAGAACTTCGGTTCATATGATAAAGCAAAGTTTTTGGATCATACGTATGAAACCTTGGTTCTAGTAATCAAGTACCAAGGTTTACCTAGCCTCTTTTTTAACCAAGGATCTCAGTCATCTGAACGTAACTCGAGGTTTCTTGATCTGGAAACTTTAATGATCAAGGCCGAAAACTTTGGTGTCCTCAAACTTCAAAAACTTTAGACCCAAGTGAGCCTTCGTCGGTTTTCGTGACAAAAGTTGTTTTCTCCAGCTGTTAGTAAATACCACCAAGTTTTCATGATGGCGGAAGTAAAACACAATGCAATTAGTAAACAGTATGAAAGAACTTATCGTTTTAAAAACTGTGAGAGTAGTGATTATTTCCGTTGATTTGCAGTCATTAACTACCATGGTTGTCGTGGTGAAGGGAATTCCCCGAGTAGAAACAGTTGTCTCCTGCTAGAATACCGTGAAATACATAGACTCACCTAAAACCTACTACAACATTGCAACGTTCGGTCATTGGGTCTCCAAGGGTTGAAGTTGAGGTGCAACTTTTAACCTTGAAACCCTTGAGATTTTTTGTTAGGGCACAGAAAAATAAAAACTGAATCCGTCACAGTAGATCTACGTTCGTCGTACAGTAACTTTCATACGAACTATCTCCTTAAAAAATAGCTCGCCGCGGACGAACTTTAAAAAACTCAACGCACTGGAAGAATTACGAGTGAAATTGTTTCCGATTGTTCGTTGGATTAAAGGACAATCTTTCTCTTGAAACGTCATAAAGTTTCCTCCTCAATCGCTTCAAACAAGGATTTTCGTCGCAAATTCCTTATGAAGGGTTTTTTGTTCCATTAAAACATCTGTCATGACTGATTTGATGCCTCATTACAACTATAAATACACAGAAGTCGCTTCATGACGTAGGGTGTTCGTCTCTCGTTGTAGGTCCAGTCTGGAGTGGGAACCAGATTGGTGAAAGCTCCCTCGCGCTCACCAAATAGTGCCCAAAATTACGTCTTTTCATTCTGACGCAACATAATCCATTGAGATAATTCGACCTGGCAACTATGCTCATGAAGCAACCGGTGTAGCTCGTGTCTTGTCCAAAACTTTCGTCTGGGCAGGGCAGTTGATGAGGTATGAAAGTAGTGGCTGCATCTTCTTTGTCACCTGATGGCGCGGCTTGTTGTAATGTTGAACATCCGTGACTTTCAAGTTCAGATTTTACCTACCGGGCGCAATGTCTCTTTCATCTTTGATTTAAGATCGCCAGGGGTGCAAGTTGGCAACACTGTTTTCCCCTCCATTTAAATCCATTAAATATATCGAATTAAGGTGCAGCAAGCTGCCTCACCAAGAATCGATCGTTTGACATACATTTAAATGGAGGAAAAACAGTGTTGCCAACTTTCAAAATCCAAAGATTCGTGGAGTCAAATTTTGTACATAACAGTCACAAAAAAATCTTCGGACTGTGATCTAAATCCTTGAAATGAGTAGTCTATAAGAATTGGAGCAGAGCAGAAGGAAATGATAGAAAACTTGAATCATTTTTCACCAGGGCAGTGGTAGAGCAGCCCGTGGACACGTATGAGGAGCGGAGAGCACATCACGATCTCCATTGTCTACTTTCTTATTAGAGCGTCAAAGTCTCTGAGCCGTTCTATTGTGTAATGTTCCCGCACATGATTTTTGCGTCGAGTGTCATGCTCTTTCCGTTGCTGCATTCTTAGAGGAGCGCACTGTTTCTTAGTTGCCTAGGTCATGTTGACAAGGAGTCAGTCCGTAATAGGAGCAGTTGGAAATAGAATAGTGAAGCACCCTCAAGGAGGATTTATTGCACAATTGAGAACGATGAATGGATCTATGAATTTTATGACATTTTTTTTATGTCTCCAAAAATGATAAATCCGCAAATCATCAATGGATTGATTATCCTCGAAAGTGAAGTAGATCCTCCTTAATCAAAACGAACGTTAACGTATATAATATTTAAGACATTTTAATGATTCTTCGACGTGAAAAAAGGCATGTTCAGAATATCCATTTCGAATCTCTACTTTTGGGGAATAAGGGTTCTAAAGGCAACAAAACTTAGTGTTTTGAGTTGTTATGGAAACAGCGTTCGAAAAGTTGGTAAAGTTTAGATAATTTCAAGGGGAGAAAAAGATAATTTTCCTCAAAAATAGACATTTCATTGACAAATTTGGCAACTCTCGAATGTTCATACGGCGTTCTTCCTTAGCACGGCAATACGGACGTGTAGCGAAGCACTTAGTCAAACTACTCATGGATATGACTCCGCTCTGGAGTCCGATCAGAAGTAGGTTGTCGCTCCTATGGTTGGAGGTACCGTTGCACTATAGCACAAAAATAATCGATTTAGAGACTTTGTTACGTATGAAAATGACTCATTCTCGTGAAAGACGGCAACAGTGGTTGGAAAGTGCCGCGTCTCGTTGCGTCCGTCGTCGTCGCGGTCTCAGTAAATATCAATGAAATGCGTTGTTGTCAAATTTGGTGTAATAAATCACGTATTTTGTTCGAATTTACTGAAAAAAGATTTCTCTCGTTCGAGGTGTCAATCATGGAGTTTTTAAATCGTGACTCGGAATTAAAAATGACAACTTCGTAGTCTGTATAATGAGGAGGACGTTGAACCCCTCTGACAACTGTTGATTATTATTTTATGCCATGTCCGATTATTTCTATTCTCTTCATACATAATTCTAGAGAGAGTGTTTTCTTCAAGTACAAAATCAACGATGGAGGATGTTGTAGGAAATTTGTAATGATGCACCAAGCGAGAGGGTAGATGTTTGCCATTGACATAATCGCTAGTGGCGAGGCGTGAATGATCGATCTTCGATATTTCTCCATTTGAAGCTGTGGTAATAAATCGATTATAAAGCTATTCGTTGCGGACAACCTGTTTATCGATCCTTTTCCATAGGTTTAAATGGCAGATCAATCGATATATCGCAAATCACGCCACGTCACTGGTAATCGGCGAGGAGGCTACGTTCATACAAACATGTTGATGATCCCCATAGTTCTGCAAAAGTTGTATCGTGGTTCCAAAATTTTATAATTAACAATGACCTCAGGAGAATAAACCATGGCGTTTCAAGAGAATGTAACGATAAGAATCGGCGGAATATCAGTCTGTGAATTACTCATGTGTGGATAATTTCAGGTGACGCGTAAGTTTACCGATACGGCTCGAACGACTATAGAATAAAAAGCATGGCTTTTTCCATGAATATTCCATCGGACGAGAAGGTTGAGAAAAAGAAATTCCCTCCATCCGCCCCCATTCACGCTCCTCCACCGGAACCGGAAATTGACTCAAAATACACCAATGGTTGTGCCATGTAAGTGAGCCTAAAGCAGTTATCAGAGTAGATGCTTCACTATTTGGGAGAGCCGCAAAATCTTTTGAGAATTTGCATCGGTTTTAAGAGAAAAATGAGGTATACTGTCTCTTCGGTGGCATTGGATCCGCTCTGTTCCCTGTTTTAGATTCGGGATTGTAACGCGATGATAAATCGAGTAATTCAGTCTCTCAAACAGCACTTGGATATCTTTTTTGGCAGTGGCGTGGCATGCTTTGCGATTTATCGATTTATCTGCCATTTAAACACATGGAAAAAGATCGATAAACGGAGTGTTCGCGGCGAGCACCTCAGTGATCGATTCTTTACCGCTTCAAATGGGGGAAATATCGACAATCGATCATTCATGCCTCGCCACTGTTTCTTGCAATGCACACAAAGAAAAAAAAACTTTAGTTCAAAAAGAACACTCAAATGTTGCGTTGAAGTAACCGAAATTTCCTGTCAAAGTCAGAGGAACCGAGCTTTCGGTTCAATTAAGCGAGACCGCACTTCGAACAACCGAAATTCGTTTATTTTGTAAGATGCACTATGTTCCATATTTAAAGCATTGTAAGGGTGTCTCGTGAGAAAAAAAACCCCGTGATTTTCTTTTGTCTTCATTTTCACTCCTTGTGGTTGGTTTTGATGTATCTTCGATTTTACCTGTGAATTTTTGGCGCATGGGTTTCTGTTCGGTAGGAAACTTCAGAATCATATTTTTCTTTTGAATTGTTTTCCTTTGCTTTCGACTCCATTGCTCTCTTCCGTTGTTTTTCACCACTTTTTCTGCAAATCTTGTAATCCTCATAGCATTATTCCAGCAAGTGAGCAGAAAGTGAACAATCACGAGCTCTCTATAATTATCATTGTTAATCATCAAGTACTCAGGGATAATAGTTCAGTTATATGAAACAGAGCACGGTGTTCGGTATCCAGCGCACTGTTCGGCTCATTTCGCACTTATAAAAGCGTATTTCGTTCTAATAACCGAACTTTCCAACGGAACCGAAAATTGGACACAGTTCGGTAACAGGAACCGAACTGTAGAAGGAGCTCAGTTGCATGAACGGAGGATACGGTGACCAAAACCGAAAATACGGTTATATTTGAACGGAATAGTAAGGTCGGTATAGGACAGTTTGTTTCAGACCAAGTAACCGGACTTTTTTTTTTCTCAGGGTACCTCAATATATTTTAAAAGAAGTTATTAAGAGATAACGCTGTGAATTATTTTTCGACAATGTGCTATGAAAAAACGGTCAAACCCAGGAGGAATAAACATTTAGAGACCGGGTTGGTCAAACAAGTTCCAGTCAGAGAAATATATAATCGTGTAATAGTGGCCTTGATAAAGCGGTCGTGTTCTTAGGATGATGATGATTCCTTCTAGTCGGGTTCCGTTGCGGGTGGAAGAGAAGTCAATTGTTTTTCCACGCTCCACGGCGAGGCGGACGATGATTCGGGACTTCATGCTGTGATGTCAGAAAATAGATCTCTCGATAATGAAGCTGGTGTGAAGTCATTCGACTGTCAGCGTGTCAGCTACCTTCCTGGCTTCAAGCTCCTCAAGAGACTTGTCTTCTAGGAACAGCCGACCAGAGACAACATTTTTAAATATCTCGCACCGCTTTCTTAATTCCCTTAAGTCTAAGAGTTTCTTCCGGTAGCCAACGCTCAGAAACGCATGGTGGTGGTTGATTTTGAAATCTTAACTCAAGGTGGAAAAACTCGCCTTACAAAGCGCTCATCCCGACATTCATCGGTCATCATTTGGCGAATTTTATGCTCGACAATCATTCGGTGAAAAGTAGCGTTGGTTGCCGATAACTTTTGCCTCGCCGGACTACGTTCCTTAGATTGCTGGTACGGAGACTCTAAAATATATTTTATCTGATCACATATTTCCTGGACGAGAGTAGATTGAGCAAAAAAGTTTGGTCATAAAAACCGAACGTTTGGTGTTCCATATCATCTCACCTACTCGTGTCATACTACTTACTATTTACCACATACTACTCGTCATACTGATCTTTCGGTTCGTGTAACAAAGAATTCGGTTCATATATGACCGAACTCAGTTCGTCAGTTTATTTTACCGTCGAAGTTCGGCTACACAAACCAAAAGTTCAGTTTGACGAACCGAAAATTTGGTTTGACAAACCGATCTAGTTGGGATGATACGGAACGCTGAACTTCAGTTCATAGGACTAAAGTTCAGAGTTCAAAGTTCTGTTCATTTTTTCTTCAGTGTGATAAGCTTCGCATACAATAGGGCGGATAATTGGGAGAGAGTTAAACCCCTCGATGGATCCCGGGTATTATTTTCGGAGCCAATGGTATCATAAGCCGTTGGAAACATGAAGACAGATCCGTGCCATGAGAGCTGCGAACCACGTCGTCGAATCATGGAGGCCTTCACGGCGTCCTCGTTTTGATTCTCACAGTTCAGTGAATTGGGCACATTTGATTGCAAGTGTGCATGCTGAATAAGTGTTGGGTGCGCAGTGCTCATTCATGAACTGCGTGCATTAATAACTGTGGTGACGCGGATGAGGATAAGGCAGGCAGTTTATAGGTTCTTACTTTCTCTCGACCGGTAGGGAGGCCCTTGTTGCAAGACCGTTAGGAAAAAATTCCAAGCCTCGGCTCCGTAGGAAGTTCTCTCGAATCCAGAGTCTCGACCTTGATATAGCCACCGTTAAAAAAAAAAATCAAACACACAGCGGCCCGATTATTAAAATTGATAGACAAAGCTATAGACAAAGGAGACATAGGGAGTGTGGAGTGATCCTTTTGGTTGAAGCGGGTGGTTCCTACAGACTGAGGGGGTATGTGATAGACTAACTCCCTTGTCTATAGCTTTGGCTATCAATTTCAATAATCGGCCCGCTGGTGTGTTTATACTAGGAATTTTCTTCTCTCTCACCCTCTTCTTCTTGCGCTTATTGTTGACGTTGTTGTTTTCTCCTTCTTCTTTTTCATCTTCTTCTTCTTTCTATTTGCATAGAGTACTGTTTTTCTAGCCTCTATTCCAGAGGCATCAATGGCCTTTCGGGGATGAAAGGGAGCACCGTGCTCCCATATTTTGGGCGGTTTCCCGGATTGGCCTATGACCCCATCCAATCATGCAAAGCTTAACTAGCCTTATCCAACCTTTAATACCAGCGTGTGTTACTAATAACACATCGTTGTGGTCCGGATCCTTGTCACTGAGAAGATCAAATGGAACACAACAGCGAGCTAACTGAATAGTTTTTGACTTAACACCATACGTGTCTTCGTTCGTAGAAAAGACGTGGAACATACGAACCTTAGTTACGCGTCTAAAAGTCGCACGTCCTCAACGAAACAAGAAAAGTCAACGTTTGACTAAAATTCCTATGATCGAGTAAAAATAAATGACTTTCTTAGAACTTTCCCCTGAACTTTCAAGAGCTTGTCACCCTGTTTTATGGAATCAAGTCTGAGTTTGCTGAATACTGCCGGTGAAACTACCAGACTACTATCTCGTTTGCGGTGTTTAAAAATCTCCGCTCTCATTATATTTTTTTCCTCGCAAGGGGAGGAAGAAACACGGAAGTTTTCAAGAATTGACGTTCAGTAGTTTTCTATTTTAAAAATAAAGTATGACAGGAAGTTTGCAACGCCACAAACCACGATACATGGTCAGAGGTTGATCCAGCAATTTGGCAACACCGGATTTCCTCCATTTAAACCTATGTTAAGTAATCGATTCTTGCCGGAGCATCTGGCTCCTCCAGGAATCGATACATTTCCATAGGTTTAAATGGAGAAATGACAATTTGCCAATTTTCTGGATCCGCCAACGTACATGCACTGGAAAAAACTTATTGGATCTAGAGTCCAGACTCTTAAAAGCATCGACAAAAAAATACTCTTGATTCAATCGGATTTTTGCTTAAATCAAGAACCAAGCCTCTTAATTAGAGCGGATTTCCTTTTGATTCATGCAAAAATCTGATTGAATCAAGAGTATTTTTTCTTGTCAATGTTTTCAAGAGTCTGGACTCTAGATCCAATGTGTTTTTTTCCCAGTGTGGTCCGGTGCTATCACCGTGGATATGATGTTTTGTCCAAGTTTTTCTCTTTTTATTGAGGCAACTGACTAACAGTACGTTTCTGTTGTCTGTGCAGGAAAATGACAAGATGGTTACTGTTAATATGCGCCTCTTGCCTGGTGCTCTCCGCGCTGGCGTCGCCGGTTCTCCAGGGCGGCGGAGACGTGGACGTGGCGAAGGGACGGCAGGCGGACGCGGCGGCCGCCGTCGTGGATAACAGCGTCGCGGCGGCGGCGTCGCCGGCGGCAGCGGCCCCCGTCGCGGCGGCGCCGGCCCCCGCGGTCACCCCCGAGCCCGAGGACGACGAGGACGATGAGGACGACGACGACGATGACGTCGACCTCGACATCACCGACGACGACGATGATGACGACGACGAGGAGGAGAACGAGACTGCTGCCGATGATGACGACGAAGACGATGATGATGACTACGACTTCGAGAGGTTCTTCGATGATCTCCTGGGAGGTGCGTAGTTCATCTTCCTTCTTTTTCTTATTCGCCCTTTGTTTAGCTTCCAATCGTTAAGTTCTCCGAGGTGGCGATTCTCGCAAAGTTCTAACACTCAGTTCAGTCGCAATTCTTGAGAGTTGGCAACACTGTTTTTCCTTTATTTAAATCAGTGGCGTGGCGTGAATGATCGATCATCGATAGTTCCCCATTTGAAAGCACGGTGAAGAATCGATTATTAAGGTGTTCGTTGCGAACACCCTGTATATCGATCTTTTTCCATAGGTTTAAATGGCAGATCCATCTACATTATAGCAAAGTACGCCTCGCCACTGATTTAAATGTATGCAAAACAATCGATTCTTGGTGAGGCAGCTTGCCTCACCTAAGATCGATAGTTTTTAATGGATTTAAATGGAGGAAAAACAGTGTTTTCAACTTGTAAAATTGTCGCTGGCTCCAGTTCTTGTATGAAAAGTAGTGTTACCAATTTGCGATAACCGCCACTGTGACCGCAGAAATGGTCATCAAAAGAGTGATGTCAACGCACGTTCAATGTATGATGGATACTGCCTATATTTGAATAAACGCAAATGAATCTTATTCATCAGGCTTGTTTGAGATCTTTTCATGACCATTTGTGCCACGGTTTCTTGAATGTGTGTAACTTTTTGAGAGGCCTGATAGGAATTACGCTGAGAAAGCTTCGCACAAAGGTTGCAACTTTCGTCTTATTGTCTGTTTTGTATTTTTCTCTACACTTGAATCATTAACGACCGAAATTGTATTCATATGCAACTTAAATAAAACTACTCTAATGTTTTAGGGGAAACATTGAGGTGCTAGGCAGAGTTTTTAGGGAAACTGTATTGACTGGTTAATTCAGGGCTAAGGGATGTTCGATTGAGAGTGAATACCCATTTGAGGAATCAATGTGATGAAACTAGCCGTTTTGAATCAATCCAGTTCACTAGTAAAGAAAAGGTTTACCTGAGTTGACTTCTTGGTTACTTCAAAATTAATTTTGGCGCACAATTGAAATCATGATGTGCACACAAGCACAAGTACAAGTGCAATTAGTTGGTTTCCCTGTATTAATGTTCCACATAAGGAGAGTAGTATTGTAGCTTCTGTAAATCTTACATTAAAAGCTTTAATAATGAGGACACAGGCTAATCGTTAACAAACATAAACTTAAAATGAATCCAAGAAAGACTGAGTTCGGAATTTAGATTTAAAAACTTTTTGTGACTCTTTAACACCACATGTACCATCAGCAAGACATTTTTGAGTGAATTGAAACGAGCACTTAGCCACCTGCAACTGTTTTAAAAAAATTCCTTTAAAAATCCTCATAGTTCGTTTTTAGCCGAACAATTTCCAAAATCGTATCGCAGAGATATCGCGCTTTTGTAATTGAAATTCCAAGTAAAAAGGAAACGTTTTGCGTATAAGCTTATTAATTTTTGCTAATTAAACATCTCACGATATTTGTTTCGCATATTTAGAATATCCAAAGTCAGCTCTGAAAAATATCACAATACGGATGATTAATCATATCATAAACTCATGTTTCAAGTGTAGAAACCCATTCTTCTCTTTCCTGTTTTTTGTCAATTTCACTTATTTTTAGCGAAAAAACCACTTCATCGTTCTGTTTATCGCATAATTTTTCGTACTGTCCTAAAGAGGTCAATCGATCCTTCTCAATATTACATTTGAGCTTGACAACATTTGTGGCATTTTAATCTTAATTCTTCTGATGAAGATTTTAATTTTAATTAGTCATATTGATAACTTCTCTTGCGAATCTGTCTACTTTTAATAACAGCATATTATTTGCTCGTTTTGGTTGTGTTGGGTTTGATCATGCAGAAGGTGTCTTACATGTCTATCCTTTCAGACGGATCTGCTGACGAAGACATGCTCAACTGTCAACTTCTATATTACAGACTGAATCACACAAACAATTATTTGACCTTGAATTGACCATAATCCTTTTAGAGATTATAGTGTGTTATCGACGATAAGTTTTGGAATAAGAATTTATAAATACGGATGTTGCATACCTTTTGATGAGAACAAGAATTGGATTACATTTTACAATAAGGAGCCACAATCTCTAGCTCTTCCACAGAAGTACCTTTTTGCAAAAGGAAAGATGATTTATATCTTGTTTCTAAAATGAGCCGGAAATAGTGATTCCTTATCGCAAATGTGGTCAAATTATCAATGTGATTTTTTTTTAGCAAAAGCGTTAAATTAACACATGCGTTAACATAATCTCGGATTTTACCCAGGGGGGGGGGGGGGAGAAAAATTGTTGACTACATCATCAGCAGCTTTCATAGATAGAGACCATCTATTATGCATTTCCAATAGCGATTGCAGTATTGCAATTCAGAATTCACCTCAGAGGCCATTCGCTATTTCCTCCTATTAAATTTACCCCCTTTAGTGCATTATTAAATCTGCACTGTCTTATTGATGTGTAAGTCCTCCAAGAGCATGCGGAAGTACCATACTGCCTTGAGGTCTGAAAGTTATGAAATGATTCAAGTGTAAGGAAAAATGTAACGCAGATGATTTCAGTCTTGTCTTCCATGAGGAGCAATGTCTGCAAGTCCATCGAGTGCTTCAGTTTTGACGAGAAAATTTACTATTGATCTTGATGTGTCTAAGACTTAAAGATGACATTGCTAGTGTACAAATGTGTGTAAAAACATATTTTTCCGTAAATGCTTAGGCCGGGTTTACTTGCGAAAAAAATGAGGTGTTGAGGGTTAGCTCTTAAAGTGAGTTTATCTGCGTATTGTATGCTATACTTGCCACAGCAAAACCATATTTGCTTATGTTTCTGCCCATTTAAGTGTTAATTTACGCTCTGTTGGCTTCTTTGCTTTTTCAATTCACGATTTTGTAAAATATGTGCACTGAAGCTTAACGTAATTCTGAATTTGTAGCATATTTTGTCCTTCAGAATTTCATAAACTGGCGGGTCCTTTATATGATTTCCCATAATTTTCCGCTGATAACATGGTGGATCTGGGGTGCGATATTATTCAAAAGATTACGTCGAAATGAGAGAGGTTTTGAAAACATTCGGCAATCATATACCTTTATTCAATTATCAATCCTCCTGAAGAAGTATTAGACTCTTTTGGCTGAGATATTGATACCCTGTGACCACAGGTATAATCACAATACATAGATCAGCTCACTTTGAAGAGAGATTTTGAGTGTTGACGAAATTTTTAATTATTCCTTTCAACAAGGATAAACCTCAATACCACTCATAATAAAATATTGTTTCATAAACACACAAAAAGTTGAATGAAAAATCAGAAGTTTTTCATCCTATTCTCTCTTTGCTGAAATATTTTGTTTTTTTGTAATTTAATGAACGTCACAAACTCTGCCTGAAGCTATAACTTAGAAAAACGTTGAAAAGTTGGTCAGTTGCTAAATATTAATGGTTCCTTCCTTTAGAAAAATATGTCCCCTTTGATCTGCTATTTGAAAGGTAGGATTTAACTTTGGACAAAAGAATTTTGTTCAGTCGCAAGTCGCAGACTGCGGGATTTTTACTGAAAAAATATTACATGAGGAGGCAGATGAGTAATTTGTGTAAGTAATTGATGGGGAGGGGAAGACGGCATTTCCGGCTGAGCAGTATTTCTAAGGTTATAATAACTTGTTTTCGAATGAAGAAGTTGATTGAGGCTGCAGTTAAAATACAATTCTTGTAAGAAAGAGAGCAAAAGAACTAGGAAAACATTGCCCTTTAAGGACAGGCCTTGCAAGAGAAAGGTTTCAGAAAATCTCCAATTGGAGAACGAGGTACCTGTATAAAAAAAGCTGATCCTCATCGCCCCCCCCCAGTTTTTACGGCTTAGAGTTCCGATCTTGTTAAACTCTGGCGTAGGTATTGTTGTTTAAAAGGGCCTTAAAGATTTTCAAAAAAGTTTGAAACGGTATTCATTGGAGAGTGCCACTGAATTCCTGAACAAAAACTCTTGAAAAAACAAGGAGAAGGAAAGAGAAAAAAAGCGCTAAAAATCAATATTAGACACTTTAATCACTTTTTTCTTAAAATTTTAACGAACGGTTGTTCATTAGAGAGTACTACTGAATGCTTGAGCTAAAAAAAAAAAAAAAAACCCCGCTAATAATCAATTTTAGACACTCTAATCATTTCCCTTAGGTGAGATCATAACTAAAAAAAATTCGTCAACATTTTTTTCAAGTGGGTGATATATTAGCATGACCTAATACTCCTTCAAATCAATATAATAAAACTGCATAAACTGCATTTATTCAGAATTCATCCAGTGATTGAAACCCACTTCACATACTGAAAAAGGGTGAGGTGCCGTTATTCTTGTGTGCGTCAGTTTAAATTTCGTAAATTTTTCATCAACTTCTGTATCGGATTTACTTCAATAATTAGATAGCTCGCAAGTCCAAACTATAGCAACTGCTAAAATGTGATCAATTTCGTAGAAATTCTAAGGAACCGGTGACCATTTTAGCGTCTTTTAGCTCCCATTTTCAGCTTGTAAAATGGGCTTATGACCTACGAATTTTTATACGACTCAACAATTGAAGGGTCTCGTTATAGCCACGGCAGAGTTATAGTGATTTTCGATTTGAAAACTCAGAAACTGGAAGATTGAAAAACTGATGACCTGATTGTTTTTGGTTTTTAGCTTGAAGGGGACAAAATCTCACCGGCACAGTCCACCCTCAACTGACACAAATCGGAGACGAAGACATAAAACTGACCTACCCAACGACCAACTCTTTACAAAACCTACGAGCCGTCGCCGCTCCAAAATCACAAAGAATACCAAAGAAAACTCCATGATTTCATTCCTCACTCTCTCTTCTCTCTTTCTATTCCTCTCTTAATTTATTTTTAATTTATTTGCGCATCTCTTCCTCTTTTGTAATTTATTTTTCTCAATAAATTATTTATTTAACTTATTTGTAAAAAGGAACCACCGTCTTGTTCTTTC